TTTCTGATTTCTCCATTCTTATTCTTAGTGAAGTGGGGCTATATTTACCTATTCCTTGCTTGGTACTTCCTATAAAGTGAGCAATATTTCTTTAAGTTACTCCACTTGTCAGAAATGAACACAAGTGAAAAAAAAAAAAAGAAAGAAAAAAGTAAGCTGAAATGCAGAGTTAGAGGGTGGAACTGCAGTATTTTGCTCATGCTTATCAGTAGATCTTTTTCTTTAGTTAGATACATATATTTATGTTTCCTTGTATGCGCCTCACTCTAAAGCACCACTTTTTCACATTGTCTTTAACAAACCACGTTCAGTATCCAGTGGAAGTAATTCTAGCTGCTCGTCTTGAACTAAAAGAAAAAATGTACTGAGAGAATTCTCTGCTTTGCCATGAGGGCATCGAAGGAAAATCATTGACATGATCTGGATTTATAGAACATATTCCTCGGAATATCTCAACTTGGAACAAATCTTTGACACCTATATTCTTAAAAGCACACTCGAGAATTTAAACTATAATGTATTAATGTTTCAGTTGAAATATGTGAAGAAAATCAGGCTCTCTTTTCATTTTTCATTTCTTTTCGTTTTTATTTTTTTCCTGATTCTGATTTCGGTTAAACCTGCATAGCAATTTGCTTCTTTCTCAGGACTCCTGGAAAATGATTTGCGGATCCAATTGCACGCTTGCTCATTATTTATTGACCCTTATTCTAGTATTTTACTATTTTTCTTAGTTAAGCGGACACAGTTGTTTGTATCGACTTTTCTTGAACGAAACCTGATTTGACTGGAATAACAGGTTGGCCCGAAAGATCATCAGCGTTTTCAATCTAGTTATGCGACTATTCTGAAAGCTCGGATGACCGCTTTGAAAAAGAGGGAGAGGAAGGACAAGAGAAAGGCAGTTGATTCTGAGAAGAAATTGGTCCCAAAGAAGGATTCAAAGAAATAATGTGCTGCTGTGGCAATCGAAGCTGGAAACTTGGATCTTTACAATTGATTCTGTTTCCAGATTTATTTTTGACACACTATTAACACTTCTCAAAATTTCTACAGTTTACTGTTATAAAGTTACTTTCGATTACGGTTTTCGATTAGCTTCACATTTGGGAATTTGTTGTGGTATTTTGAACATGGATTAGAGGCTGCTTTTGTTAAGGAAACGATCACATGAAGTTTTTTACTAATTTAACCCATGCTCAAATGAACTGAAAAATTGGAAAAGTAAATAGTTAAATATTCTGTAAAAATAGATAATCTTTATTAGTCACTGTCATATTTAGGCACATTGGTATGCTTTGTAAATTTATTAGAAAGGGTAACTAGTGAATAACTTGTACCTAAATTAGGACTTGAAAATTTAAAGTATTTGGTAAAATTAATTTATAAGTCTATAGAAATATAAAATTCCACTGATTTTTTCTTAAACTACATAAAGAAGCTTATGAAATAATATTGGACTTAAATAAGAAAAATCATGCCTACATAACCAAACTTATTTCGGAAAAAATAAACCTATAAGTTAAACAAATAAATTATAAAGCAAATTTATAATACTTACCGGGTACCCTCTTAACTCTTAATCAGTTATCTTAACTCTTAATCAGTTAATCTTAATCGAATAAGCTGAGATTGAGACTACCCCCCAAAAAAAAACAAAAACAAAAAAAAAAATCTCATTTAAAAAGATAAATAAAAAATATTTTAGAAAAAACAAAATATTTTTGATATGGTATTTTACGGCTTATCTCATTTAAAATAAAAATAAAAAAATGTTTTGAAAAAAAGAACATTATTAAGATAAATATATAGTAACTAAAGTTGATGTGTTTACCAAGAAAATATTAATATATAAGATTATACAAATGTAAGTGACTCGATATTATTTTTCCGAAAAAAATATAAATTTATTAATAAAAAAATAAAAAGTGGACAAAAAACAAAAAAAAAAAAAGAGGGGCGGTGGACCAACATAGAAAACACTTATTTACAAAATATGTTTTCTGTATAATTTAACTAAAAAACGTATTTATTAAATACGTTTTTCACATTTTTTTTTACAAAGGAAAACGTATTCATGGAATACGTTTTACAATTAAAATGTGCAGAAAAACGTAAATATAAAATACGTGCTTTTCATTTGTTTCCACTCCCCCTTTTTTTCCTATATTTTTTTGTCTGCAACTTAACTTTTGATTTTTTTTTTGGTAAAAAAATCAAAAATGTATATAACATAGTTATTTTTAATTTTTAATTGTCTTAATGGAAATAAAAAAAGTGAAAAATATATATTTTTTTTTTTTAAAAAAAATTATTCTATTCCCATTTCTTGGCATTTTCTTCTTTCCCCAGCAGCAACAAGCTCGCAACTGAGTTCAAATCCCTCCAGATTCCTGAAAAAACAGTCGAAAATGAATTTGCTGTTATATTTGTTTCGAGAACAAGAAAGCTTGCAGTATTACTGTGTTGCCTCTACAAGAACACCATGAGGGGCTCATCACCTACTTCAATGGAGCCCACATAAAGGCTCCCCTTCAACAAGTAAGCTTCTATCAGTCCAAAGATTCGATTTTTATCATTGATAAGCTTGTTGCTAAAAATTCGTGATCCCTTCTGCGGGACTTTTGGGGTTTGGGGCATCTGGGTTTTTGTTTTTTCCCCCTAATTTGCAGTAGTTGATTAGTGTTGTACTGTTGTGAGAAGATGACAATATGACATATGAATTAGAAAAACGATAAAGTAAACAACACAAGATTTACGTGGTTCGGCAATATGCCTACGTCCACGGCGCCTGAGGGATCTTTATTATTCTCAATAGTCTCAAATACATCAATACACTATGTATTTATACTAAAACCCTACAATGTATAAATTAGTTTTATGTCGAATATATGAGACATATCAACAATTAGTTTTATGTCGAATTGAGAAGCTTCCTAGTGCTTCGAAGCCTATTTTCTGATCTTTTCTGCCATTTTTGTGTGTTTTTTTGTTGCTAGTTTACTCTAACCTTATTCTTGAGATTATATCTGAATGGTAGAGAACTTTATATTTTAGCGTTTTCAGGTTGTAAACATTTTTTTGTTTTGTTAACTTTTATTTTGTTTATATATTTTAGAGATGGCAATTTGATTGGAAATTCCAGAAATGATGAGGGGTGTTCGAATTGGTGCCTCGTGAATTTGAAATAAGGTCGAAGTAACAATGTTAAAAGATTGATCCTTTTCGCCAAAACCTTACAATGTGAGACGTATATGGTGTTCAAGAGAGTTGGCACAGATTTATGCTGTCTAAGCAGTGTAGATAGCCATTAGTCTGAGTACAATAATGTGTCATTGACATAATATGGTAAGTTTAGTGTGGCGTTTGCAGTAATTTGGTGATAGAGTAGTTGCCGAATTTTAGTCCTTCAAAGGATACTGTCATTCTTGAATTCTCTCACGTCTCATAGTTCGACATAATTAAATTTTAATACCCGTTTTAGGTGTTGATATCAGGAGTGTTTTAATATTCGTGGAAAGAGTTCATGCGTGTTTGTATGAAGAGTTCATTTATTTGCTGCTGATATTTCTTGTTTTGTCTGACTTGGATAAGTTTGAATTTACTTTGTACTGAGATGAGTTTTTCACAAAATATTCCACAAATTGGTTTGAAAAAAATTATCGACAGGAAAAAGGTTTTGTGGTACTTATTAGGAGAGGAGATGGTGATATTTCTGTTTAAGACTATATAAGTATTTATTTTTCTGGTGGAGATGAATGTTCTCGTACCTTATTTAATTCATTAAAAACTGCTGCCATGTTTTTCATACATTTGGTGTTAATGCTGTTTAACTTGCTTCTATCAGTGGCCTTGATTATTATAACATGTGGCCATGTTACTTGCCAAAGAAGCTCGTGCTACATATGTCAATATCGCGTTCGAAAAAGGCAGTGGATGGAGCTGATAATAACAACTTCTATTCGTGTGAATCGAATTTCCTAATCTAGTCAAATTGCCAAAAAATGGTTGGCATATGGCATATGGTTTATTATTATATTATTCCAAACATTACCGACTCGACTCGACTGATTTGGCCTCAACTCCTCTGTTTTCTCGCACATTTGGGCGTTATGAGAATCGAACATCTACATCAACATGAGTAGTCACCAAGTTCATTTTCTTATTTTGCAGCAAAAGAGTTTAATCTTTTTCCGCAAAAGATATATTTGAAGGTAAAATCTGATTTTCTTCTAGATAAAGCTGTTCTAACACCACTTTTGTTTGGCTGTCGATTTTGTTCAGTGAGGATACAAACAGAAAGAGGTTTTCAAGGATTAGAGTTTCGAAGGATGGGGATAGGTCTCTTTATGGCTACGGTCTCGATCGCATATTATGCTGCAAATTCCCTACATTGAAGCTTGTGATGGTCATTATCACTATTGGTGCATTTTGCACTCTCTTACGTTCTCCATCGATTCATGAAGCAGATCATATATCGAGCACAGTTTCGAGGTAATTTTATACATGCATACATACATTTATGGATCGTGCTTCTTAATATTTTTGACATTTGAGATTTGCACGAACGAATTGTATTTTTGTGGTTCTCGAGCTTGATTTCTTGTTAATCATACTCACTCGATATGTGCCAGATTCTTAATTGTTTTAACTCTAAAATTTCCCCCCGGAATAATTTTCATTCTGTACAAGATAACCGTATTCTACAATGTTATGTTTGATAACCAAATAAGCTAGCTTATAGCTTATTTGGTTAGTTTATAAGCTTCCTGTATTCAAATAAGCTTCATTTGGTAGGACGAGCTTTTTTAAAAAGCTCGAGCTTATCTCATAGGCTTCTTTGGGTAGCTTTTCAAATAAGTCCACTGAAATTTTTATTTCAACTAATTTTACCAAACACTTTTATCATATAAGCTAGTTTTTCAGTTATAAGTCATAAACTGTAAGCTATAAGCTCGAAAAATAACTCATAAGCTATAAGTTAGCTTATGAGCTAGTTTTACCAAACACAGTCTAAGTCTGAGTAACCGAACAACACTCATCAATAGACTTATTTTAAGGACAAATGTAATCATAAATCTTTATTTCACAATCTTGATGATGACAGGTCAAGTTCGGTAGATAGATTGATCATACATGACAAACCCGGGATAAACCGAAGCTATTATTCGTCTCATTTAGACATCAATTGGGCGGAAGTTTCTGTTGCGATCGGGAAATTTACCGACAGTTACAAAGGAATAGGGCTGTTAAATTTCATCGACCAAGAAATCAACGAGTGGAAGCAGTTAGTACCTCGTGCTAAGCATGTTGTACTTTCCGTTAGTTACGCTTCTCCTAACATCACTTGGGAAACACTTTATCCCGAATGGCTTGACGAGGAAGAGGAATATGAAGTGCCAGCCTGTCCTGATCTGCCAAGAATCAGCTTAGCTGGAAAACCGCGATTGGACCTCATAGCCGTGAAGCTTCCGTGTAATAAATCGAGCAAGTGGTCGAGGGATGTGGCTCGTTTGCACCTCCAGCTGGAAGCCGCCAGGCTGGCAGCAACTGTCAAGGGGAACCATTCGGTGCATGTTCTTCTCGTAACCGAATGTTTTCCGATTCCGAATTTGTTCGCTTGCAAAGAGTTGATTGTGAGGGAAGGGAATGTGTGGGTTTATAAGCCGAAACTAAGCGATTTGAGAGAGAAGGTTCGCTTGCCGGTTGGGTCGTGTGAACTCTCACTTCCTCTGAATTCTGAAGGTTATATTTAATTTTTGGTTTTAGTCTTTTTGCCATGCACCTATACACAAACTTCATATAGTTCGGTTTCTTATTATCGGGACCAGGGGCGGACCTAGGCGGGGGCCCGTAGGGGCACGGGCCCCTGTGCAATTTTTGAGAAAAATTAGTACATATAATTATAATGTAAAATAATCATAAAAATATTTTAAAATTTAAGTTGTTTGCATTATATATTTGTATTATGTTGTAGACAACATATATAAATATACTTAGATCAATTTTTCACAAAAGTCAACATTGATCTTGATACATATTGAATTTTAAGTGTTCTTAAGTTATAAAATATATTTAAACTTAGCTATTAAATTGTGTTTGTCATTGAATTTTTAACTAATACAATATTTATCTTTATTATAAAGAAGTTTGCGAATGCTGACGTTGTAAGAATATCCAATGCAAAATAAAAAAGAATGTTGGTATTTGAAAAAGATTTATTTAATGATATTTGAATTAATGTAATTATAAGTAATATAATATATAAGAACATGCAGAGAATAAATATCATTTTTTTGGCATTTTGTAAATGTTATATTTGTGCCCCCTCATTCTTGTGAGTCTGCGTCCGCCCCTGATCGGGACAATAAGAGCAACTTGAGGCTAGCTTAAGGGCGCGATTGGATTTGAAAATGCATTTTGTTTTTGTTCTATTTAAAAGAAGTTCCTCAATGCACTTTTTGTTGTGCTCACTTTCTTTTTTTATGCACTGTTTTTAAAATGAAATGACTAATGGTTTCTACGCTTTTGTTTTCAAACGGTTTTACATTAAGCCAATCGATTAAAATTTGTTATAATTTATGTAAAATAATTATAAAGAAAACTTGAAAATGTGAACAATGTACCTAAAAGAAAATCTGAACAAACCTAAAACAATTGATAAATGTAGAAAAACCTTGAAAAAAATCTAACCAAAAAAAAATGATTATAACCCTTAGATTCACAAAATTGAACTAAAATTTGAATTTTTTTTGCTCTGTTAGACAGAACACTTTCCTGAGCTCATTTGAAGTTTTTGTCTTTGTTAGTTAACACCGACTTTTGTTTCTGAGTCCGTCAGATTATGGGTGAGCAAAACCGAGTCGAAACCGAAAGATTGAGCCGAACCAGGCAAATTGGTGCAGTTCGATTCAGTTCAGTTTTTTCAATGTAGGAAAAATTCGATTCGGTTTCACTTCAGTTCTTTTCTATATTGTGCAGCGGTGCGGTGAGGTTATAGATTTTTATAAGTTTGGGTTTTGGTTTTTGTTCGGTTCCTGCAGTTTTGCACCGGTGTGACACCGAATTGAATAAAATGTATAGTGAAATCGTAATAAAACCGAAAACCTACCCGAACTGTGCATTTCGGTGAGGTTCGGTTTGGTTATTTCAATGTAAAAAAATAAATCGGTTCCTTTTCAGTTTTGTTTTTTCTAAATTACGGTGCGGCTCGGGTTTCTTATTATAGGTTCGGTTTTTTGATTTTATGCAATTCGCTGTTGTTTTTCACTGAACCACACCGTTGCTCACCCCTACTCTATCTCCTGCAGAAAAGTCTTACACAGTCAGCAATCTTAAGCGCGAAGCTTACGCAACAATCCTCCACTCAGCCCACGCGTATGTGTGTGGGGCCATCACCGCAGCCCAAAGCATCCGCATGTCGGGCTCATCACGCGACCTCATTGTCCTCGTTGATGATGCCATTACACCTCACCACCGCGCGGGCCTCGAGTCCGCGGGCTGGAAGGTCCGGCCCATTCTCCGT